CACTGCTGTGTTTGGGCCCCTCAGGGCTACTTCAGCCACCAGCTCAGCCCATCTCCTTGAGAATGTTCCTCCTTTAGGGCTTGCCCCTTACTTTTACTGAGCTTGGTGTCCTTTTCCAGGGACTGGCCCCACCAGAGAACCAGTGCAAAGTATGTGAGAGGAAGTCTCTCTCCTGACTTTCAACAGACCCTCTAGATGCACTTTTTTCCAAGACAGATTTGTTTGTTCTTTTGGCAATCCATGGGATGTTACTACTCTTTGCCAGAAGCCAAGTGCAAAGGCATCCGTTTCCCCTGCATTCTCTTTATTATGTATTATTTGGATGCCCTATTAATATGCTTTTTAAACATGTGCTAAGAAATCTTTATGACCTGACTTCTAGGTGAACCTAGATTGGCTTTTGGTCATGGAGAAAGGACAACCAGAGTGATTCTTAGAGGCCAAGGTGATGAAACCTCACCTCAAGTGTCTTGGGTATGTTGTCAGGAGGGCCAGTTCCCGGAAGAAGACAGTGACAAGAGAGGAAAGCAGACCTGATGAGAGGAGTTGGCATGGTGACTTTAACAGTGGGCTCAAGGATAGCAGAGATGATGAAGATGGCACAGGCAAGGGCAGGGTTCAGATCTGCTGTTCAGAAGATCGCTATGACTCTGGTGGCTTGGTGCTAAAGCATTGTGCTGTCAATCCAAAGATACACAGTTCAAATCCACCAGCTGCTGGCAGGAGAAATGTGAACAGTCTCCTCCCGTGGGAAGTTTCTACCTCTGAAAACCCTGTAGAAAACCCAGCTATGTTACGGGTTGATTCGGAACTGACAGTATTCAGTAACAATGAGAATGTAGTTGACTTGGTGGCACTTAGCAACAACAAAATTGGCTTTAAAAGCCAGTGAATGACTTAGCACCTTAAATTCAGGAAAGGTGGGAGGGGAAAAGGCCTGTTCCCAGTGTAAGGACAGATTGCAATTCAGAGTTATCAGAGCCTGGGTTCCTCGAAGCAGAACCTCCTGGGAGATCCCTGGGCAAGTGGTTCATAGGGTGAACACTCTGGGAGGGGTGGGGGAGACAGGGTAGGGCAGGGCAGTAGGCAAGCTCGCTACCCCCTGACGCTGCCATTATCCTGGTCATGGAGAGCCGTGGACTGGGTCCACTAGAATGAGGATGCTTTGATACACCTCCTGGCAGTCATTCATGGGCTGTGTACTGCTCGAGGGGAGAGGCCAGTGCTTAACCACGCCAGAGCTGCCAGAGCCACTTCAGGGGAGCAAGGGTGTCCCAAAGCCAAACCAGGCCCACAGTCGGTTCCGATTCCCAGTGGCCCTGGAGGACAGAGATAACTGCCCCGTGGCACTCCCAAGGCTGTTACCTTTACAGAGACGGGACGCCATAGCTTTCTTCAGCTGGTGGGTTTGAACCACTGACGTTTTCATTGGCAGTCAAGCACTTTAACCACAGTGCCACTAGGGCTCCTTTGATGGATGGCTGCACTGCTTGGTGAATAGGAAGGATCTGGGTAGGGGCCACCAGCGTGCACCACAGAAGGTCTGTGGGACTAGCCTGCGAGTGTCAGGTTTGTGCACGTAGCAGAAGCCCTCTGGCTAGATACACCCCGTGAACAGAGGGTGTGCTTTGTTGGGGGTATAAGGCGTTAGCTTGGCTTTGGTAAAAGAGAAAATACTCTCTCTAAGGCACCATGGCAGAGTGTGTGATCTGAAAGGTGAAGAAGAAAGTTTACGTTGTTACTGGGGGAGAAAACAAAAAAGGAAGAGAGTTAAAGGTACAATTGACAGCGCTTCTCAAAAACGAGCTTGTATAAGACCAGCTTCAGCAGGAGAATGATACTGAGTTCCTCCGCCCAGCACACACATTTGCTCTAGATTGTTTAAAAGTCGTTTGCAAACACTGGCATTTTCTCATCAGAGCATTCTTTTTCCTAACACCACTTTGCATAGAATGTTTAACTGCATCAGGCAGCTATTTCTCTTCCAATGAAAGGAATGAAGCAGCCAGCTTTGGAAGAGTTTGAAGCCCCTTGAGTTCTGCGTAGACAGCCGGAACAAAGGCCTGCAGGCACACCTGGGAGACGGCACTGAGAAGCAGATACCACAGCAGAGCGAGTCACACCAGTTGGTTTGTTCCCACGGTGTGTCAAGTTAGATTGACAACGTGCCGTAATCCATGAGGGAAAGCTGGTGGTGTGGAAGTTGTACAGTTAACCCAAAGGTTGTACATCTCTGTCATTTCAAATCCACCCCCAGCACCTTGGGAGAAAGAAGAGCAACCTCCTCTCATGCCACTTACAATTTCCAAAATCCCACGAGAGGGTCAGCTGTGTGTCCCAGCTCGACAGCAGTGAGTGAGTGAGCAGTTTGGTGGGTTCATTTGGTCATACCGTCTACACAGGTCTCCTGAGGGGTAGTTAACATGCGAGACTGTCCGTGCCCTGATGCAAGTGATACCTGAAAGCACTGCATTTTGTCTATCAGAGGTTGTGTTTGTTTGTTCTTCTATTTGTCTAAACTACAGAGTATTGGGGAAAGAGTGTCCTTTGAAAGCCAGTCCCCAGGGTTTGGGTCTAAATTCTTGCAGTACCTTCCTGATCACATAAGACACTCCCTTGTACACAATCTGCACACCTCCCCTATCAGTGCCATTTGAGGATGCCTGCACACACACAACTTTGTAAAGCAAAAAGGAACTGTCATTCCTTTCTAGAATGCCTGCTACCAATAGGCAGATCAGCCAACAAAATTAAACCTTGTTAAGGTTTTTAAGTCAATGTTCAAGCCAAGATTTTTTGGAATTACCTTCTGATGTTAACATCAAGTACTTGTGTGGATCATTCTGTTTATATTCTAGTTCCTTTAACTTCAACATGTGGATATCTGTATAAAAACTAATATAAGGAAAAATGAAAACCAGAACCCTTTACAAAAAATTACACTGTGATTTGTTTTGTAGGCTGCTCAGAGTCTCTATATTTAAACAACTCAGTGATTCCCATCAAGTCGGAACCCACTCAGAGCTGACCCACCAGTGGGTTTTCAGAGGTTATAAATCACACACGAGACTGCCCATCTTTGTCCTGCAGAGCAGCTGGAGGATTCAAACTGCCCACCTTTAGGTTGGCAGCACATCTCCTTGCCTGCTGAGCCACCACAGCTTCCGAGTCTCTATGTTGTTGTTATGTGCTGTCAAGTTGTCTACAACTCATAGTGACCTTATGAACAGAGGCCCTGAATCCTGCCCTAACCTGAGCCATCCTCACCTCTGACACATCATCGCCACAGCCACTGTGTCACCCTATCTCATCTAAGTCTCTGTAGAGGCTGGTTTTAGACATATGCATCCCTGAGAAGCAGACTTTTTTTTAACTGTTATCATTTTTTATATTATCTTTCTTTTTTATTAATTTTATTATTGAAGTTTACAGAGATGTAGGGTTTCCAGTCATTCATTGTTGCACTTTTCTCCCTGCCCACTTACCCCCTCCCCCAGTTCACTCTTCTCCTTGAAAAGAAAAAGAAAAACTCTTTCATTGTTATGCAATCCCTACCCCCAAGTCCACTCCACTATGCAGCCTTCACTCTGGACTCCTGTCTTAACAATAATACCTAATCATATATCCCTTTTAAACAGTTCTGTCCCTCATCTGTTTCAATGCACTATACATCATTCCTCCCCTCCTTTTCTGTCTTTCCTCAGCCCTGATGTCAGTCCCATTTTACAACAGTGGCCCTATGCACTATTTGTCCTTTTGTCATAGAGATATTTCACTCAGCATAATGTCCTCCAGGGTCATCCATTTTAAATAATATTTCATGAGTTCCTTGTTTTTCAGTGCAGCGTAGTATTCCATTCTGTGACTATACCATAGCTTCTCTATCCATTCGTTTGTTGATGGGCACTTGTGTTGTTTCCAGCTCTTTGCTATTGTGAACAAAGCCTCAATAAACATGGGTGTGCACATGTCTGCTTGGGTGGTGGTTGTGGTTTCTTGAGGGTAAATTCCCAGTAGTGGAATTGCTGGGTCGAGTGGTATTTCTATTTGCAACTTTTTGAGAAAGCACCATACCATCTTCCACAGTGGTTGCACCATTTTACACTCCCACCAGCAGTGAATAAGGGTTTCAGTTTCTCCACAACCTCGTCAGCATTTGATGTTTGCTGTTTTGTTAAATTTTGCTATTCTGACTGGCGTGAGATGATATGTTGTTTTGAGGCATGCATGTCTAAGCTCTGTGTGTGTTGTCTCCACAGGCCTTGAACCGGGGGATTGCCGCTGTAAAGGAAGATGCGGTTGAAATGCTGGCCAGCTACGGGCTGGCATACTCCCTAATGAAGTTCTTCACGGGGCCCATGAGTGACTTTAAAAATGTGGGCCTGGTGTTCGTGAACAGCAAGCGTGACCGGACCAAGGCCGTCCTGTGCATGGTGGTGGCCGGAGCCATCGCTGCCGTCTTCCACACGCTGATAGGTAAGGACTTGGGCCGCCCTGGGAGAACCTGGCTGCGGGCACATCTTCCTCCATCTAAACATGTAGAGTTATTGTCATATGTGATCTTTTTAGTCGTTGTCATATGTTCCCTCTGAAGATTCCAGGGGAGTGGGGGAGGGATTGAGTTTGTGTGCCTCTCTTTAGAAAATGAAATGTTTGCTTTGGGAAGCTGTGGTTTTGTGTCTGATTTCCAAACCACATGTCAGAATAGGAATGGTTTCATTAATAATGGTGGGCATATCTAATGGGAACTCTGGTAGCTTAGTGGTAAAGAGCTGTGCTGAAAACCCAAAGGTACACTGTTCAAATCCACCAGCTGCTCTGTGGGAAGAAGATGGGACAGTCTCCTCCTGTCTGATTTACCGCCTCTGAAAACCTGTGGTTCCAGCTTAAAGGTACACAACAACAATGGCGAGTGTATCTTAAGGGTTGTTGTTGTTGTTGTTGTTGTTGATTACCTTTAAGTCAAGCTCGACTCATAGCAACCCTATGAACAAAAGGCCTAAAGCCTTTCAATAACTATCGACACTTTTCAAAGTTCATAGAGTTTCCGGAGGCATGTTATTTAGGAAGTGGATGCCACTCCTGCTTCCAGTATCTAAGGGTAGCACTTGCCAGTGTCAGAGAAGTCCTGGTGACCCAGTGGTTAAACCACACAGCTCCCTGTGGTTAACCCAGGCCTTGGAAAACCACGTTCCTGAAGAGTCGCTCTGCATCTCCTAGCTTCTGCTGGAGATGAAACCTCAAGGGCATGAGTCCTGGCTTTCAGACAGCTCTCCTGACCTGGTACCCGCATCGGGTGCCCATCTATCAAGCCCAGTTTTAGAAGGCACTGTGAAAGAAACCTCACAGAGCCACTGGGCACAGCCTTACAGCAGCCTGGATGTCAGGGTAAGGAAAGGGGCTGGAGTTGTCGCCCCACCACTGCCTGTCCGCACTCACTCCCCTAACTGGGTATCTTAGGTAAATGGGGTAGGACCTATTGTGGCCTTCATTTTTAACACAGCATAGAGTTTCATACTACGGACCGCGTGGGCAACAGCATGTTGGCTGATTGGCCAGATCATACATCCACGTTTTGATAGTGACCATTGATTTCTGAAGGTGAGCTTTCTCTGCCCAGATTTAGGGCCTGAGTGGTAACTCAGGGCCTGAGAGTTTGCACATGGATCTGTTATTCAAAGAAAAGGTCTGCAGCTTAGTTTAATCTGGGCTGTATTCAAAAAGACTATGTATATTTGAGAAAATTCCTTCATTTTTTTAAAAAAAAATAGGGGAGCTCTGGTGGCCTAGTGGCAAGAAGCTGCACCGTAATCCTAAAAGTACACTGTTTTTTGGGGTTTTTTTGCATTTTAGTAGCTTTATTGAAATTTATATTCCTTAAAACAAAACATAATAGTAGTTTGTTAGGTTACCTCTGAAAATCGAAATTAACACTGATGTATTCAAAATCTTGAAATGTATTAGTTGGTTGTGAAAAAAGTACACTGTTTGAATCGACCAGATGCTATGCTGGAGAAGGAGGGTCAATCTCCTCCTGTACCAGTCAGATCTGATTTGATGGTATACACCCAAAAAAAAAAAAATAAAATAAATTTAAAAATTTAAAAAATAAGAGACTTGCCTAGTTAGGTAAGTTAATTCCACTTTGTTATTTTTGTTTGTTTGTTTTGGCTTCCAAATAAAGTTGGCATTTCTTGTTCTATCAAGGGTTGAATGAGAATTTCAGAGAAATCAAAATTCATTCATTACCATTGAGTTGGAACTGCCCCAGAGCTGACTCACCAGTGTTCAGAGGTCTTCAGAGGCTGTGAATCGCACAGAAGGAGACGGCCCGTCTTTCTCCACGGCTCCTCTGGTGGATTTGAACCACCAGAGTGGCGCTGCTTTTGGGTAGCTGTCAGTAAGGGTGCAAGACAAACTGTGTGTGTGGTGCTGTTGGAAATCTGGAATGAGGAAGTGGAGTTGTTGACATAAAAATCAGCATCATTTTAGAAGTTAAATGTCATGGTTTTCAGTTTTAAGAATATCATAGTACAAGCATTAAACCAGAAAGTTTTTATAGCCCAGATAGATTTAAAAATTGTTTTTTTATCAATTGTGACATTTTTATTATCATTTAGCCTCTTACCTACTTTTGAAAAGTATTTTCTGCAACTACTAAGAAGGTCCTTTTCCTCTTCGAGTTTGTTGGTGTCTGTCCAATCTCCCACCTCCCTCTTCAGTTGCCCTCTTGCTTTCTGTATCTGCGATATCACTCGTCTTTGTTCACATCTTTCCTCTATCATTTGACTTCTAAGCTCCTGAACAAATTGCTTGTACTCAACTACTACCCTAATGGTGGATGTTCAAAAATAATCTTTGGGGTAAAAGGAAAGGCCTGGCATCCCTGCATGTGACAGTAGGAACCCTTCCGGGGCAGTTCCCCTCTGCATCTCATGCGGGAGCCAGGAGCAAGAATGAACTTGATGGCTGTGGGTTTGGTTCTGGCTTCTGGTAAGCTCTCCTGAACCCATAATTTTAGCCACAGGCTCCGAGATACTGCCCTCCATTCCCTCCTCTTCCTGCCATCAAACTTCAGATTCATCTTCCTGCCCAGTGCCAGTTTCTACTCGACGTGAAGCCTGCTGTGGATAGCTCAATCCATGTTCACGTCTTGTGCAACTCACTGCCACTGAGGAACTGACTCCCAGCTGACCCTGCAGTGGGTTTTCAGAAGCTCTAAATCACGTGGGATTAAAAGCATAACTCCCGCAACAATGAATGAATGAGAACCCAAAATCTCTGTAAATGTTCATTAAAACTAATAAAATTTAATAATAATTTAAAGAAAAACAAAACATAACTCCCTACAGTCTACAGCCCCAGAGCTCCCTATCTCGTGTCTTGTTGTTGTTGTTGTTGTGTACCATCAGGTTGCAACCAACCCATGGCTGACCCACCAGCAGGTTTCCAAAGGCAGTAAGTCACATGGGAGTGCTTGCCCATCCTTCTTCCACAGAGCAGCTGGTGGGTTTCAAGCCACCGTGTGCCTTTGGGCTTGCAGCACAGCTTCTTACCATGAGGCCGCTTGTCTTGTGACCATGAAAACAGCTCTTTACATATCACCTGTAACAGTCAGCTCTCAGGTGAAACGACAAGAAAGTCATGATAGAGTTAAAACGAAAGAGCAAACACCCCAGACGTATGTGGCCTGGGCGGCTCTCGCCAGCCTCCTGAATCACATGTGCTTGGGCTGATACCCAGCAGTCTCTCTTTCCTGCAGTGCTGTCAGGAGAGGAAAGTCCTCGGGGAAAGACATCATGCTGCAAAAGGTGAGGGGTCAGCGAAAGAGAAGCAGACCCTTGACGAGATGGGCTGACACAGAGTCAGGAACAGTGGGCTTGGCCGTGACAGGAATGTTGAGGATGGCCCAGGACAGGGCAGACTTCCATCAGGTCTGCTGTTCATAGGGGTCTCTGTGAGTCCTCGTCAGCTCGAAGGCACCTTACCGCGTTTCCCATGTGAACCTCTCCTGGGCAGGTCCTTGTTACAGTGCAAGAAGCTGCAGATACAGATTCAATGTGCTGAACCCAGAGTGCAAATGTGAACACAGCACGCGAGGTTTAATACCTCATTTCTCTGTTCCTTCTCTCAAGCAAGAGTAATCTAACTGCTTTAAGCCTTCGTTTTTGACACAAAAATACGGCCTTAATGACTTTGCCTCTCTTTATCATGATCTTTGATTTTTCTGACGGCTGTAAGGACACATGAGGGCACCAAGGAAGGGGAAGGGTGCTTTGGGGAGTGGGAGGCTTCGGGACCCTGTGAAGAGGCTTGTTTCTTAACTAGATCTGAAGGGCTAAGCCACGGCACAGCACAAGCCTTCCATGTCTGTTCCTCATCTTAGATTCAAAGGCTCAATCAAGAATGTGACGCTCTAAATTAATATTTTACTCTAGGTAAAATTGTAAACGGTGGCTCTCCTTTCCAGTCACATTAACTGAAGCTCGTAGCAGGCAGGCTGTGGTTTCGGGGACAAACTGCACTCTGTACATTGTTGTTTGTTCGTTTGTTTACTTCTAATTCTTTGATCCCCTGATGTTTCGCTCCCTCCTCTACCTGTGTAAAACGTCATCGCCTTTCCCAGCATGGTGCTTTCTGCATGTTTAACTGTCATCATTTCTCTTCTCAGATGTTCTCAGCTACTGCTTAAAAGTCCACCCACTTCCCATATCGATGTCGTGAATGTGAATGAGGTATTTTGTCTGTAAGGAGACCCTCCACTGGCATTAAAGAGCGGGTCTCCTGCTTTGAGTGTGGGGGGATTTTGTTCCAAAAGTGACCCTCCCCAGGCCTAAAGAATAAGAATAAGACTGTCAGGTTCACTCACCTTTTAAATAATCCAGTGCCCACCTGTGCCATCAGTGCCTTGATAAAATATACATAGAAACAGCTGGCATTTTCATGCCAATTCTGGTCCTACTGCACTAAGACTGGCCATAGAGGTGACAGCTGTACAAAAGGCCTGGTGACCGATAGACTCTGTCACAGTACACACAGTAGGCATGCTGACCAATATGCATGGTGACAATACACCCGGCACACCGACAGCTGTGGTTCGTAAACAAGCCTGTGTCTTCAGTACTGACAGCAAGAAGGACCCTGGTGAGAGCTGTATTCAGTCAGCATGGGCTTTTGAGAGCAGGAAGATGGAGCCCAAAGTCAGATCAAGGGAGTGAGGGCCACCCCTGGACTTGAGAACACAGCCCAGGCTAAAGAAGAAAGGCAGGCGCGGCTGGGGAAGACAAGATGCTGAAGGCAGGGAGTAGCATGGACTTGGAAGCTGGAGAAGTAAAAGCATGGAGAAGCACAGGGCTGGTTGAGAGCTGAGAGGACAGCCGCCTTGCGCTGAGGCTGTAAGGAGGTTAGAACCCAGCAGACATCAGGAGGGAGAGAGGAGGGGGCCAAGGGAGGGGGCAGTGGGCAGGGATAGCGCG